ACTTTGATAACTGGGAGGCCAACGTCAAGACCTATGTGCATTTGCAACAGGTCTCCCCGGATCARCAGGTCTTGATTGCGATCCACGCGCTTAAAGATGAGGCCGCCAGTTTTGCAAGGTCCTTGGTTCGTGCCGCTAACTGTAGCGACGATCCCRTTGCCTACTCCTCGTTTACCTCCCTCACCGAATTCCTGAAACTGCTGCGCGAGCGATTTGCTGATGTCGCCCGCAGTGTTAAGGCTTCAGATAAGCTCCAAACCATCCACGCTCGTAAATGGAAGAGTGCTAGAGCACTCAAGGGTACGATGGATGAGTTGGTGGCCGTCCCTGACCATAAGGTCACAAATGCCCAACTGGTCGATCTCATTTACCGGGCCATGCCCGAAGCCTTGCGAGGGCATTTCTTCGCAAAGAGCGAAGACCCTGCCACTACGTACGATTCTCTTAGTCGTGAATTGGTGGCTTTCGAAGCCAAGTCTGCGTCTGTGTCTACCTTCTGGCACAAAGACTTGGACAAAGGGAAACCATGGAAGGGTCGCACTGTCTCAGGGCAGGTCAAGACTAAGGATAGCCTTGTGCTCACTTTAGACGAAGGTAGTGTGGACGAAATCCCCTACGACCAGATTGAGTGGGGGTTAGAGGAGGACAGCGGTATGGGCCAGGGGAGATCTTATGCTGCTGTCGCGGCTGGAGGGAGGCCGCAAGGAAGAGGCCAGGGCCAAGGGGGCCGGGCCTCAGGGAGCCGGTTCCAGGGCGATCAGGGGGTTGGCGGCAGGGGAGGAAACCGCCAAGTGGGAGGCAGGGGTCAAGGTCCCCCGCAAAACCGTCCTAGGAATAGGTCTCCCTACAAGGTAGGAGGATGGCACCCAGGGCTACCCCAGGGTAGGCCTTGGGAATCTTTGGGTCTGGACCAGGCCTTATGGCAACAACGATTGGACCGGGGCCAGTGCATTTTCTGCGGTGACCCGGGGCATATCATCAAATACTGTCCTAAGTATCGAGAGACCCGAACGGCTGCCCAAGGGCCAAAAGGCAGCCGCCAGTAGGGGTAGCAACTGCCCTTACCATTAGGTCATGTGGGGAACATAGCGCTAGCCGGCAGGAGACTCCCACACCACATGTGCCTACGGCAGAGGTTGCAAGCCGGTGTCTAGACAGCTGTCCCGAAACTGCTTGTGTTAGAGTTTCGCTAGACACCTCCCTCACAGGCGTGGCCGAAGAATTGAAAGAGAGGATGCCCGCCTGGGCCAAGATGAAGAAGGAGAATAAAGGGCARCTGATTTTGTTAGATACARAGATTTTTAGAAATAGAGTCGGGGCYCTAGTAGACTCGGGGGCCACTCGCAGCTATATTAGTAGGAAAGCGCTGCAGAAGTTGAAGCTGGGACTTAAAGTCCAGAAATTGACAAACCCCATAGTTAGTATCCTCGCAGACAATCGTACTATGATTGTAGAGGATTACGTAGGGGGAGTCCAGGCGTATTTTCGCCTGGAGAAAGATGGGAAAGTGGAGAAGGTCCTCCACTCCCTGACTCTCCTCGTAGAGGACAGCCTCCCATTTGACATTGTCCTGGGAATGGATTGGGAAGAGGCAGCCGGGGCCACGCTCCATTTGAAGGAGCACAAGTGTAGGCTCCCTAGTTCGTCAGGCGAGGCCAAGACTGCCCGCCTGTTCCATGTGTCAGGGGTAGAGAATTCCTTGGCGCATTGCTGCCTTAGTGCCCCCGCGTTCGCCAGACTGGTGAAGAAGGAGGGATTGGAGGAACAGGTCTTTGTTGCCTATGTTAGGCCAATCACTGAGCCTATGGAGGAGAAACCGATGGACCCTGCGATTGCCAAACTGCTGGAAGAGTTCAAGGATCTAACCGAGCCGCCGATAGGAGTAGTACCGCGGCCCATCCAGCACCGCATTGAGATAGAGCCTGGCAGTAGAACTCCTAAGGGCGCCGTATACAGGATGTCCCCACGGGAGTTAGAGGAACTTCGCAAGCAGTTAGACGAGCTCCTCAAGAGGGGTTGGATTAGGCCCAGTTCGTCTCCTTTCGGAGCACCTGTCCTCTTTGTTCCTAAGAAAGAGGGAGAGCTGAGAATGTGCATAGACTATAGGGGTCTGAATGCGATTACAGTGAAGAATGCTGAGCCACTGCCAAGGATAGACGATCTCTTAGATCGAGTGCAGGGGCCTAAGTACTTCTCTAAGATAGACTTAAAGTCCGGATATCATCAGATAGAGGTACACCCTGATGATCAGTATAAGACAGCCTTCCGGACTAGGTACGGGCATTATGAGTTTATAGTGATGCCCTTTGGACTAACCAATGCGCCAGCAACTTTTCAGCGGTGTATGAATGATTTGTTTAGGCCGTGGTTAGACAGATTCGTTGTAGTTTATCTAGATGACATTCTAGTGTTTAGTAAGACCCTCGACSAGCATCAGAGTCATCTCAGGCAGGTCTTGGAGAAGCTGAGAGAAGCTAACTTCAAGATCAATGCGAAGAAGTGCGATTGGGCGAAGACCCAAGTTTTGTATCTAGGCCACGTCTTAGACGGAGACGGCGTTAAGCCAGAAGATAGCAAGATCGCAGCGATTAGAGATTGGCCCACGCCACGTACGCTGACAGAGTTGCGCTCGTTCCTGGGCTTAGCAAATTACTACAGAAAGTTCGTGAGGAACTTCTCCACAATCGCTGCACCCCTTCGCAGATTGCTAAGAAAAGAGACAATCTGGAAGTGGGACAAGGACTGCACGTCTGCCATGAAGAAGCTAAAGCAGGCATTAATAGAGTACCCAGTCCTTAAGGTCGCCGATCCGTCCTTGCCTTTTGTCGTTACTACGGATGCTAGCCAGTACGGCATAGGCGCAGTGTTACAGCAAGACGATGGCAATGGCTATAGACCCGTAGAGTTCATGTCGGCTAGAATGCCTTCAGAGAAGGTTGCGACATCTATCTATGAGAGGGAACTCTACGCTCTCAGGCAAGCATTAGACCACTGGAAGCACTACTTGCTTGGGAGGCACTTCAAAGTCTATTCTGACCATGAAACATTACGATGGTTAAAGACGCAGGCCAAGATGACACCTAAGCTTACTAGGTGGGCCGCAGAGATAGATCAGTACGACTTTGAGCTCAAGCCTGTCAAAGGGAAGTACAATGTAGTCGCGGATGCTCTGAGTAGGAGAGCAGATTACTTTGGGGCAATAGTACATTACCTCGATATACGAAAGGATCTGCAGCAGAAGGTTAGAGAAGCCTACGCGCAGGACCCTATYTATGGTGAGCTCCTTAAGAAAGTCAAGAAGGCCCAGAGACCGAGCCGAACTACCGCACTACTAAAGGGTTGCTTTTTGAGAAGACTAACGTTTTTGACCGATTGTGCATCCCCAATAGCGAAGAGATCCGTGGCTGAAGATGTATTCAGGACTGGAGGTAGGGGTCATCCACAGAAACAGTACAAGGTTCACTTTAGTTATCAAGAACCGGAAGACGACCGCTGGTTTACTAGATCTGAACTTCTAGAGACAGCTCCCGACATAGTCCGGGCCTACGAAAGACAGCACAAGGGTAAAGGTCCTGCCTTGGACCGAAATTTTCTCGGAGGACCTCGAATTTAGGCCGACGGGAGTGAAATGGTATTCACCAGTTCGAAGTAGCTGATGCAGAACCCAGGGCTCGATCCCTAGTTCCCCAACTTACCTGTGTACAACACCTGTGTCAACTCGAAGAATTGAAACCTGCGACCTGTAGAACCGCCAGTGGTAAGTAGGTCTGTCGTAGGTCTATAGGTAGCCAGGATTCGATCTGTAGACCTGTAGATTAGAAGTCTAGCTGCAGTCCTTCTAGAAGGTTGGCAAGTGGTCAAGTGGTGCAGGCAAGTGGGCARGTGGTGTGACTAAAGCAAGCCCATGTTGGAGACGAGGACAAGTGGCAAGGGCAAATAGTAGGACCCCAGTCCAACTGCACTGCGYCGTAGGGTAGTCGCCATGCAGTCATGGGAGAGTCTAGAAAGTACCAGTCCGGTCCAGCAAGTACCACGGGGGGTGACTGTGTGCACCAYGGGCCAGGGATACAGGGCAGACCAACGCAGCGCAGAAGTATAAATCAAGAGGCTGCGTCCAGCCATTCATTCATTCAGGCGGAAGCCATGCGGTAGCGCTGCCACAGCGTCTAGTGCAAGGAGGTCTGCTGGAGGCCCGAAGACGAAGGGGGCAAGAGTGAAGCACTGTAGTCTTAGCGATAGGTNATTCATTCATTCAGGCGGAAGCCATGCGGTAGCGCTGCCACAGCGTCTAGTGCAAGGAGGTCTGCTGGAGGCCCGAAGACGAAGGGGGCAAGAGTGAAGCACTGTAGTCTTAGCGATAGGTRGCGGCAGCCATAGCTGCCATAGTTCAGTGTAGAGAGCAGAGTGTGTGTACTGTGTGTGTGTTGCGTATGATACTGAGTGTTGCGTGTGGGACATCCAGGGTGATCCAGAGTGCGAACAGTGAGTTGTGTGGGCGCTTAGTCGCCATAGCCAGTTTAAAGAGAACTCTTACCTGGTGACGATATCTTTGAGTACTGTGAGGGCGCATGTCGCCAGTTTGCTGTTTCGCTGTTTGCATGCATGACAAGTGTGAAGAAGATGAGTTTGATTGCATTTTTGGTACATTTCCTTTTTTTGACAGTTCGACACCGAGTACCACCGCTGCACCAAAAATTATCTCGAAGTCATTCATGGCCAATTAATTAATTGAAGAAAAAAAAACGGAAAAACTAAAAGTTGGCCTCGTACTCGATCGAGAAGATCCTGGATACTTCTCAGAAAAGACGGAAAAAACAAAAAAGAAAAGAAAAGAGATCGTAGGTGGACATAATTTCAGTCAAAAGTTAAAAACAGAGCAACCGCCACAGGACAAAAATGGACAATTTATCTATCTACTAGATCATTTCAAAAAAAATGAAAAAGGTGGACATAATTTCAAATTAAATCAATAGAAAAATAGAAATTAATCAATCACCCACCTTATACCCCACATAGTAGCCGGCCGGATCGCACTTGAAAAGTTGTGGGCCCAGCTCTTCATCAATACCCAAAATAATGGTAGCTGCAAGAGCCCAAAAAGACACGGGAGAAAATCAAAACAAAGCAAAAACGAGGAAAAAGGACCGTAAGACAAATATTCACACTGGTACTTTTTCGATTGACAGTGGACATGGTTCTGACCAGATGCATCGTGGACTAGCCAAAAAAAGGAGTTTGACGATGACCCATATTCACCCTGGTACTTTTTTTTGACTGAATGTGGGCACGGTTTCCAACCAGATGCATCGATGGACGTGCTGTGTGATATGGATTGCACACATAACCTGACAAAATGTTCGTGGGAAGAAGACGTGTGGCACAACCATCACTGGATCCAGATGCATTGAACCTGGACCTTACCACCCTACTCTACCCCCCTTGTCTCCCAAATTGGAGGACATACATCCCGACTCAACGAATCTGCGCGCAAACCTTCGCTTGGTACACTCACCATCCATGGTATACATGCAGGTCAAGGGAAAACAATATCTCACTGATGAGGTCACTAACTGGCGGCGACCTGATGAGGTCGCTAACTGACGGCGACCGAAACCGGTCGGGGATGCCAGCTCCTCCTCACTATGACGGAGGTGCCATAGCTAATGCTATAGAACGTGCTTCATTGTATACTTGGATTTTTCAAGATCATTGTTTCACATATACTTTGGCTGCGTAGGCGTGGCTACGTGTTGGGCATCTGTCGGTCTTGACTGACTCTGCTTGTCCTACCACCAATATCTCACTGCTACTGGCAGTCTGTGTGCAGGTCCAGACACATGACACAGCCAAATGTCATAAACAAAAAAAAACAGACATCATTAAACCAGGTTACAAACCCTACTTGGTCCCTGACAGATTTCCCTTCCCTTCCCTTCCCTTCCCAGTCCTGTCCCAACCTTCCCTCCCCTTCCGTCCCATTCCCATCCCCGTTCCTTTCCCGTTCTCATTCCCGTTCCCGTTCCCATCCCTATAACCATTCCTTTCCCATTCTCTTCCCTTCCCGTCCCGTCCCTTCTTTGAGCGCCATATCTCATTATTGTCCCTCACCTAGCCTTCCTTTCCCCCTTCTCCTCCCTTTCTTCCCCTTCGGAGGGGGGGGGGTTCTCCTAGTCTGGCCGAACAAGAATCCGGCCCACAGTGAAAAAAAAATACAGAAAGCTCTGGAGCATCTGCATAGCTGCTGCCCGGATGGTTGTCCGAATGTCGTAACCATGCCCGGATGGTTGCTTGAACTGATACATAATAACTTTTCTGTGAAGTGTGTGTGTGGTGTGGCGTGCAGTTAAACTTTCACTGCCCCCACCGTCCAAAATTCAGCTTTCCTAGCCACGAGGAGCTGTTTTTTTTTTTGCGTGTGGACGGCCACCGGCGGGCGCACCCAGGTCCAGTCCCACAATTTTAAAGCGCCAACTTTGTAATTTTCTGGCGCTCAGAAGAATTCACTGAAAAATCTGAAAATTTGATATCCTGTAGATTAGGTCGTTGTGATCTTTCCAGGAAAAATATAAAGAAACATGAAGAAGAAGAAAAAAATTAGACCGTGAAATAAACCGTTGGGCCGATTTGGCAAACTTTTTCCACCTCTGCCACTGCAACTTCAGTGATTTTTCGCGCTCAGAAGATTCCATCAAAACAATCTGAAAATTGGAGGGCCGGTAGATTTGGTTACGATCTTTCCAGTAAAAATATTAAAAAAACGAAAAAATGAAAATGTTTCAACCGTGAAATAAACCGTAGCGTTAATTCAATGCATTTTCCTTTTTTTTTTGCCACTCTGCCAATTCTCCACACTATGCTCCCGGTAGCCCTCATGCATGAACCTGTGCTATGCCCCCCCCCCCCCCAAATTTTCCATGTCGGGGGCAGTGGTGGTTTCAGGTTTAAAGAGAACTACCATTATTTGTAGTCGACAACAAATAAAAATAGGTACAGTGGCACTACCATTAAACCACCAGTTTCTCAGGCGGGCCTGTTTTCCCCTTTTCCTGATTCAGATTTTGCCTGCACGCCATTCAAAAATCCAACCGGCGCGTTTTTGCCAAAGCATGCAGCACGTCAATGGCCGCGTCGGTTTTCGCCTGCAACCCCAGCCAATGGAGTCCAGTGGGCCGATTCCCAAAGGATGCGGCACGTTAATGGCCGCGTCGGGACAAAATGGCTGGGAAAGGTACTGGCCGTTTATGGAAAGGGGTGCCAGTGCATAACTTCCATTTCAGATATAATAGATGACATTGCACGGGTGGCGCCGTACCGCAAAGAATGACAATCAAAATAGACAAAGGCACGTTAATGGCCGCGTCGGTTTTCGCCTGCAACGCCAGCCAATGGAGTCCAGTGGGCCGATTCCCAAAGGATGCGGCACGTTAATGGCCGTGTCGGGACAAAATGGCTGGGAAAGGTACTGGCCGTTTATGGAAAGGAATGCCAGTGCATAACTTCTGTTTCAGATATAATAGATGACATTGCACGGGTGGCGTCGTACCGCAAAGAATGACAATCAAAATAGACAAAGGCACGTTAGCTGGTACTTTCAGAATTCGTTCGGTTTCAGATTTGGTGATTGTGGGCGGCAGCCGTTCAGTTCTTTTTCAAGAACCAACTGTTACGCCTCACGCGCAAATCTTGAAATGCGATCACAATGATCACAATGATCACAATGATCACAATGATCAAAATGACAAAATGTGCGACACGAGTTAACACACAATGATCACAATGACTGATGTAACACCTTACGTCGCAGTTAACTTGTGTCGCACATTGTGTGCTTGACATCTCTTCTAAGTTCTAACCTTTTTTTTGGTGGAACAACTTCAAACAAAAAAAAAAAAGCTATATTGAAGTATATTCTTCATTCCGTTACGCTTCTCACACTACCTACCTACCCTACTATTTCTCCTAAGCCTATAGAAAAGAGACACCATGGAAAGGAGACTATCAGAAGCCAGCAAGGGATGGTAGAACCTACCAAGACCAACCACGGGGGTCAAGCCGACAATCTCAGCCGGTGAGCACCAAGCACGCAGAGGGCAGCCGTAGGAGGGGATTGAACCCACGACCTTCCGAATGCCACTTGCTAGGCCGCTCGCCCTTTGATACATGCCCAGTTGGGCAATGTAGGTAGAGCCAAGGATCCGCAATGTGATGAAAAGGACTGAATGGGTAATGCAATATTGGCGGAACATCAACAAGCAATGCACATCCTGATACACACAAAATGGCACATTGTAGCGCAGTGGAAGACTTGGATATAAGTCCTGACCTGAGTGGGACTGACACGACGTCCCATCATACATCACACATGTGAGATAAGGAGGAGGGACCGCACACGAAGAAGAAAGGTCCCTCCTTGTACACCCACATGGGGAGATACCACAGATGTGACATGGGGGGAGAGAAGAGACGAAGACAGAGGCGAGGGAGGAAACCAAGATCGCAATAGCGAAGTTCCAAAAATAGTCCCTCGCCTATGTCCAATCAATGTCTGCCTCAGAAATGTCGAACCAGATCCTGGGCGTCATGCCCACTGTAACCTCCGCCTGTATCCTCTGCCTGTAACCTCTCTCACGCTCGTATCTGAAGAAGAAGAAGGTCTGAAGAAGAAGAAGAAGAAGAAGAAGAAGAAGAAGAAGAAGAAGAAGAAGAAGAGAGGAGAGAGAGAAAGAGAGAAAGAGAGAGGGCGAGAGAGAGACGAGGTGGAGGGGAGACAAAGAGACCATCTTCCCTACTGTCTCACCTGCAGGAAGGCCGCCGTATGCTGACTGCCGTGTGGTTGCTGTCTTGTGCAGGTCGCGAGCGGAGTCCCAGCTATGGCGCCAGGTAAGTCCGCCGTCCGCAGGAACGGCATCCGCCCTCTCCTACCTACTTCACTACCTCTAGTCCTCAGCGCAGCGCTAAGCTGCAGCGCTGGTCCAGCAGCGTGTCGCTCTAGAAGTGAGCTACCTGAACTGTCTGTAGCCCAGCCGTAGCGCTGGGCGGGCTGGGCCTACATGGTGCTGGCCTCAGAAACGGCCCAGCCGGTCTGGGTCCCTACCGGACGTCCAGACCATGCTGCTGATGCAGCACGCACAAAAACGCGCCTGGCCTTGATCAGGCCCCGTTCCTGTGTACCTGGCCCAAGGCGCTGCCTTGGTGCCTGCAGTCCAAAACGGCATTGGTACCGTTGAGTCAGGCGCCAAAACGCACCTGGTTTCGGAAGGGCCTCATCCCTCTGTACCTGGCCCAAGGCGTTGCCTTGGGGCCTGCAAGTCCGATATGACGTCTGCACAGACACAGAATAGGACAACAGGTAAGTACTTAAATAAATACTTAACTAAATTAATAACTATACTGCCGCCTATATTTGGAGTCTGCGGCCTGGGGGCCGCCGTAGGCCTCCAGGGCGCATGTCTGATGGCGTGCGGCCTGGGGGGCCCTCAGCAACCGTCGGGGCCCTCAACTGGGGCCCGTGTGCAGGCGCAGCATGTAACACCCTTGCTCGTCTCTTCACTCGCAATTTCTTTTTTCTTTCTTTTTCTTTTAAAAAAAAATCACAACAGGTCCTTATGGTCCTGGCTCCATATCCATTTTCTGGGGAGCGTCAGTACGGGTCCTTTTCCACTTGCATTTTTCTAACTTAGTGTCTTTTTCCTTAAACCACTAGTACCTTTGTCGGTTCGAAAATACTGGGCCTCCGACCTTTCAGGAGGCCGAAATGAAACAACGGCCGCCGATCAGATTTATCAACGGCAGCCGATGTCGGGCCCCGCCTCCTCAAGGTTCGGAGATGAACAACTTGTCGAAACCGGACGGCAAAGGTGCTAGTGGTTCAACTGCTCTAACACCTTAACTTGTGTTTTAAGGAACAGAGAAAATTCAAAATTCCCTCAAATCGCATTTAACTCGTGCTTAACTTTGCACTTGGGATGTTTTCTAAGTTCTAACACCTGTATTTTAACTTCATCACTTTGTGCTTGGCATGTCTTCTAACACCTTTATCTTAACTTGGTCACTTCTATATTTCAATTGCTCCAATACCTTCATTGGTGTTTAACAGAGAACATGTGCTTAACTCGCACTTAACTTGCGCTCGACACAATGGCAGGAATTGGGGGGGAGGTCCTTCGGGACATCCGTTAAAATTGGAACGATACGGAGAAGATTAGCATGGCCCCTGCGCAAGGATTAAAAAAAAAAAAAAAAAAAAAAAAAAGGAATGGGGGGCGAGGGGGAGGGGGGGGAACTGTGTTATAGACTCATCATCATCGTTTCAGGGGATAAGGGATAACAAGGGACTCACATATCCCTAAAGGCCGCATGTATGCGTGCTGTGTGTACACCTGAGAAATGTCTGCTAATCTGCACAATTACAAAGACACAATTCAAATACAGAATTATCAAACTTCAACGACAGGTCAACAAATGAAATCTGAAATTTGACTCCAATCAGGGTGGGCTGGGCGCATACGGCCGACGCCTAGCGTAAGCCGTAGGCGCGCCTACCAGTCGCGCCGACCCGTAGGAGGTCTGCCGACCAGTCGCCAAGCTGCCTTCCGGGTTTTTTTTTTCCCTCTGAGTACATGGCTGTTCTGCACTTGGGCAGAACAGCGCAAATCCGCAATAATTTTTTTCCTTGGGAATGGGGACGGGCATGGCGGGGGGGGGGGGGGTATTCAGGGGGTGTTTCGGGTTTCGGGTTTCTTGGGGGGGGGGGGAAGGTTCAGTATTCACACCAGATTTCCAGCCATACACAAATGATGACCCTTCACTTTCTAAGCATATAATTCCAATCAAAGAGATAAGGCCGGGGTCCCGTCATATACATTCCAGGGGCGCCCTCTCATAACCCAAAATTTAAATACACACTACATACGTTGTATTCGATTACGACGTACCCCGTAAAGGGCCACCCTGGAAAAGTCGTACCTCAAAATTCGTTACACATCGTACGTGTGTTGTATTCGAATACAACGCATCCCATACATTGTATTTGTATACACCGTACCCGGTACATTGTATTCGTATACAACGCACGTACATTTTTTTTCAGGGTAAGAAGGTAGTCGCAAACAACTCAACAGTTAAACTTGGTCCCAGCTTGGTCCCAGCTGGGACCAAGCTCAACGGACCTCTTGGGACCAGCTTCTGCACGTGGTTCAAAAAAAAAAAAAAAAAAAAAAAATTGAAATGTCACAACACTCAGCAATTTGCGGCGTACACATAAACGACTTCAACCCCGGTTCAGCGGAGAGCCCATTTTGTACTAAGCCACCCACCTTCCAAGCGTCCAGAGCCACTCCCAACCGCACACCCAACTGGGCCGTCCTTTTCTGGGCCGTCGTTTTCTTCGTAGCCTTTTCTGGGACCAACCGGGCCGTCCTTTTCTTTGTGGCCTCCAAGGTTCCAGAGCCACTCCCAATCCCACGCCACGAACTGGGCCATCCTTTTCTTCGTGGCCACAACGTTCCACTCCCGACCACACGCCGTACACCCGTCTGAGCCTGATGGAGCTTTGGGTCAACTGGCGGTTTATGAATTAGGAAGACCAAGAGAGAGACAGAAATGAGTCGCAGTCTACTAACAGGATGCGCTGCGCTTTAAGTGAAGCGCCAACGTAGAGCCAGCGGTGGCGAGCGTAGGGTTAGCGGAAGGATTGGAGGTTCGCGGGGGGTTACGAACGGTACTTGCATTGCCGTAATTTTCTATGGATGGTACTTTGTCATTTCTCTGTCTCTACTCTCTGAGTGTGGACTGCACATTGAATTGCTCTGCGTGTGCTTAGGTTTGAGACAACTATTCATCATCACACTAACAGAACAACATAAGAGAAGGGGGGAGGGGGAGGAAGAAAATACACAAAGAAAAGAAGCGAAATCCAACTGATAATCCAGTCACAGATGGAAAGGATTCCCNCCCCCCCCACAAAAAAAACAAAAGGATGCAAAGGACAGTAATCTCAACCTTTTCGCAAGGTAATCAACAGGGATCTCATAGCCAAACTTGAACCGGAACTCCGCCGCTTCATTCCTTGCCTTCTGGACAACCGAGCGTGCATCCGCTGCACATAACAGCAACGAGGGAATTCCCACACAGTTAGGGGGGGGAGAGAGAGAGAGAGAGAGAGAGAGAGAGAGAGAGAGAGAGAGAGAGAGAGAGAAGAACGAGAAAGACAGGAGACCCAAAAAAAAGCATACGTCAATCAAACCACCGAGGGAATTTCCACAGACCCAGAGATGAACAAGAGAGAGAGAGAGAGAGAGAGATGGAAAGAGAGAGAGAGACAGAGAGAGAGAGAGCGAGAGAAAGAGAGGAAAGACAAAGAACAAGGAAGAGACTTGCAAGGAGACCAGGGAAAAAAGCATCTGCCATCCACCCAATCAACCATGGATTTATTTTATTTTATTTTTTTGTCAGGCAAATAAACCATGGATATATTTTGGCCTTGTCTCCTTCGCTAACTCTGAGAGTCCTACCGCCTTCCCCCGAACGAGAGGCATGACCAAATGGACCTTGTCACCAAGTACTAATCGCTTAGTCCATCAGGAATTCCATTCAAAATTGGACAGACTATATGATCTATATCAAATGCCTAATTCCGCAAAAACAACGAAGCAGCTTTTCTGCAAACTGTATGTGCTCATACAGTCAGTCCACATTCATGCTGGGGCAACGGGATTTGAGCCCATGACCTGCTGTAATGCGATTTCACGTTTTCCAGTTCACGTTTTCCATTTTTTTCTTTTTGGACCTCAGACCTCTGGGCCAGATTTCCCCGAGGCCGATCTAGTAGCCTACTCCTGAAAAATACCTGCCACGCTGCCGTTGATATCTTTCATCGACGTCGCGGCGCGCGGCCAATTTGAGGCCCGCGGCCCCACATAAAAATAAAAAAAAGGAAAAAGAAATGTCAGTTGTCTATAGACCTGAAGAGTGTGATCATTTTCAGTTTCAAGTGAAGTTTCAATTCACTGTGCCTCTCACCTCAAATTAATCACATGATTAATGATGATGATGAAGGCGATTATGACGATGATGAAGGCGATGATTGATGATGATTGATGACGATTGATGATGATTGATGATGATTGATGACGATTGATGATGATTGATGATGGAGTTCGAGGTCCAGTGATCCTCTCACTCATCTCAGTCAAGTGTGCATTATGATGATGATGAGCAGGAAGAGTAGGAGGCGGCGGAAGACATCGGATTGGATTTTAGTGGAAAGAGAGCTGGAGCAAGAAACGGATAATCAACCGAATAGCACGTCTAACGGGTAATCAACCGTTAGACTCCTACGCTCTAGACCTACAGATCAAACCCCTGCTGTCTATGGACCTACGACAGGTCTACCAACTGCCTACGAATACACAGGTCACAGGTTCAATTCTCGGCGTCTACACAGATACTGTACATGGGTAGGGTGAGGTCTAGGGATCGAACCCTGGGTCCTGCATCTGCTACTGCTAAAAGGTGAAAACCGTTTCACTCCCGCCGTCCTAAATTCGAGKWCCTMCRAGAAAATTTTAGTCCAAGGCAGGACCTTTACCTTTCTTGTCACGCTCATAGGCCCTGACTATGTCGGGAGCGGTCTCTAGAAGTTCTGCTTTCGTGAACCAGCGGTCGTCTTCCGGTTCCTGATAAGCAAACCGGACCTTATACTGTTTCTGGGGACGACCTCTACCTCCTGTCCTAAACACATCCTCTTCTACAATGCCCTCTATGTCATAGCTTCCATCCATACCCGGTGGAATCATGGATCTCCTGGAAGGGAACTGTTGACTAGTGATACACGGCATGAAACACAGCGTATGTGTGGAGGTGTGCTGGAATCTCAATGCTATAGGACGGTCCATCCTCTCCGCCCGGCCACGGTCCTCTATATGCAGGCAGTAACTTCTGCGAGATGTTTYCTTCCGGTGCAAACTCTTTTGCCTTGACCCAGACTAAGTCGCCTACTTGAAACTGTGATGGGCGACGGTGTTTGTTAGCCTGCTCTATCATTCTGTGCTGGGCCTTCCGTAGGTTCTCAACAACAGTGGCTAATTCCTTTTCGTGCTGTATCGCAACCTCCCTGGTACCGGGTGGTAATCTGTGAATCTGATCCTTCGAACGGTCTGCGCGGTCTGAAGGACTTGTGCAACTCATTGGGGGTGCAGCAGGTGGATAGATGCACGCTGTTGTTGTATGCACTAGCTACCTTGGGCAACATCTCATCCCAGTTAATCTGATCTGGTCTAATGTACATGCGCAGAACTTGCTGTAGGATCTTGTTCATCTGTTCTGTCTGACCGTTAGTCTCTGGGTGACGGCTGGACGACATTAACAACTTAGATCCGTAGA